CGAGCTAATAAAGATAATAAAAAAAAAATACATTAAATAAATTCCTAAGCGAAAAGAAAAAGAAATATATACGCATGGTTTTGAAATGCGTAGATCCGAAACCGGGTTTCATCAGGATCCATGTTTCCTTTGTATAATAAATCTAATCAAAAAAATATACAATAAAATAAAAGCAAAAAGTAAATACGATAAAAAAATGATAAATTTTAATTTTAGGGACAGACAAAGGTAATTCATTGAGGAGCTAGGAATGGCAATCGAACAAGAAATACACGAAACATATACTTTAGGACCGGAACACACACCGAGGTGTTTAATAGGACATATTAATACAGCAAATAATTTTATGGAGGAACCATTTGGTACTCTCGAAATAACAAAAATTACGCAAATTTTAACACTAATTATGTACGATTTGTCATCAGATTCGGTAACACCCACAAATACTTTATGTAAACGGTTAATAGATTATATAAAACTCTTACATGATGCTAGAGATATTTTGGATTATGTAAGATGGTATTAATTCTATAAGATTATAATAAGATAGTTAGTTTAATATAAATATACTTTGTACTTTTAGATTGGTGATGGTGGCGAGTTTTCTAGTCAAAACTGTCGACTCTGACGAAATAAATGCATCAGAGTACTTTTCGTATACGCCTTATGGAGTTGGCAGGGGTATACAATATGAAGGTTTGGGGCCAGTTAGATTAATAGGGGCTCAATACAGTCTTGTAACGTTTTTCTCATTAAAAAAATATAACACGAAATATGAACTATTGGGGGAAAAAATTAAAAATATAACAAATTTATGTACTGATCAGAAATACCAAGATTTATGTGGGAAATATCAATTAGTAATTACAGACCTATATAACGAAATAACTAAACAGAAAGAACGTACATATATGTCACTAGGAAGTACTATGGAGGACATTAAAAACAGAAAGAAAAGAGGATTAATAAACATAATAGGTAACACCATGCATACGTTATTTGGCGTATGTGATGACAAGTGCACTAAGAAAACACGAGAAGCTATACAAAAAACGGAAGAATCAGGAACTAATATATTACACATAATGGCAGCTCAAACTACTGTAGTAAAATCAACAATAAGAAGTATTGGTAACACAATAAATCAAACCGAACAATTATACAATAATATTACGGAAAAGGAACAAAAACTAAACGAAAAAATGTCAAAAATACAAAACAAAACAAATGATATATTAGATTTACTAATGAAAAATGAAATACATAATTTATATACAATAATTATTAATCAATATTCTTACGAAACAGAAACATTGGGACAAATAGTAACTGCCGCTAGAGAAGGTATGATACATCCAAGTCTTATGACACCGCAAGAACTAGCATCAACATTAAAAGCAATAGAACAAAATATAAAGAAAATATACAGTATTCCGATGGGAACAAAGAGATATGAAATAAATGAATTTCAAAAAATTACAAAAATAAGAATCTACTATTCGAACGACAGATTGGTATTCGATATAGTAATACCACTGATTATTGACACTGAACTTACATTATACAGGTTAACACCAGTACCAATGCGTCATAACCAAGATAATTCTAGTGGTTGGTACGTGATGGACATTACTTACAATAATATTGCTGTAACCAAAGGCTATAAAAGGTTTACTACATACACAGATCAACAATTAAACGAATGTAAAGAAACATCAATATACAAAATATGTAATACACCACAACCTATACAGGACAACAATGAACGCCAACCATGCGAAGTACAAAACTTCATAAAATCTGACACATATTCTAATCCTGAGTTATGTACAGTAAAGAAAATTAATTTAAAGAGAAGCATATACCAAAAATTAAAGAAAGAATATATGGATTCATGCAGGAAAAGAGACATTAACAGTAAGTTGCGCCAACTAAATAGACCCATTCATAATACAAACAAATGAAGCAGGAGAAATAGCTATAAACGACATTAGTTGCCAAGTATATGCACGGGACGCGGTATTAACTGCCACGGAAGAAATCCAAATTACAAAATATAAAGACTTTACACCTGTAACTAACATGAATAATATTTTAGAAAAGATACCCGAACATATACACAAATTCGAAACAGATGAAAAATGGGAAAAAGGACCAGCTATGCAATTCACAGATTTACACGATGCATCCAAATCTTTAGACGAAGTACAACAAATGATTAACCAAGAACTTTTAAGAGAACAAAATCAAAAGCATCAATTTGTACACAGTAATTTGCTATATGTAACAATAGTACTGGCAGTAATATCTATTATACTAATAATAGCAATTTACATAATGATAAAATGCAAGTATATCAGGACCACAGAAGTCGTGGAATTTCCCGGCAGAATAGTTAGATATAGGGCACCCAATAGAAATTACTACGTACGAAATTATGAAGAGACCCCCTTTACTCCACCACCTTCACCAAGATAAATTAATTAATTAATTAAAAAAAATATATATAAAATAAAATAATAACAATAAATAAAAAAATAAACAAAATAAATAAAAACACACGTAAAAATTTAAAGTACAAAATGGGTGAGAACATACCACCTGTAGCACGAACCGTTCGAATGCAACTACAAACATTTGACTTTCTCAGAGAATTAAAAAACGAATTAATTGAATCAACCAATCATACACAAATAATGCGAGGGGAAGTAGTCAGATTACATTGCTTCCCGGAACATATAAGAAGGGCGAATAATAATATGACCATACCTTTCAGGCCGAATGTCTTAGCACGGGTCATGATCCATGTTAATGACTTTGTACGCACGGTTATCGTAAGACCAAATCATAATCGACCCATGTGTGTAGAGTTGGGTTTACTAATAGAACAATTGATCAGGAGGCGTGTGATCGTCGAAACGATTTTCGAAGAATAACCTCAGGAAACATATATCATATACATAGCAATAAATACTAAGAAACCAATTAATTTAAAAAAATAATTATTTTATTTTAGCTCACAGGTACGCTTTTTTTTATATAATGGATTTCGAGTTCTTTACCGTCAGTAAAAACGAAACATTACTGGTATCCGACACAATATCGAATAGTTTAGAAAAGTACCAACCGAAAGAAATTGGAGTTGAGTCCTCTTATACTTACAAAGGATGATAAGTTAAGAAGATTTCGCCGATGCGACCTAAAGGAAATAGTGCAGGATATCAAACGAGTATTCCGAGGGAAAAAGGCAAGAGTGATTAAACCATTGCTGGAACAATTATACAAAAATATAAGTCACCAGGGGGGATCGACCTTGTCTACGGTATACTTGCAAAGATATTTGCACATAAACGATAGGGAGCCACTAATAGTATTTTGGAACGGATCGTCAGATATCACGATAATTAAGCGTTTAAGGTTAACAGGAATTTTAACATATTTAAACATATCGGCAATTAGCGTTAGGAATAACGATGATTATATATAATAGAATTAACAAACCTAGAAACTAAGCAAATATTATATTATATTATATAAACACCAGATACGACTGCTAGCGGAGAGAGTATATATATTTTGCCGGTTCACCGGGGTCTATTTACCACATGTGATGACTACGGCTGGTTTTGAGATCATAGACTTCGGTGGGTAGCATTTTGTTGACCTTTGATGGTTCTACATCTGCGGGTGGTCTCGTGAATCAAAGGTGTGCATCCGGGGACATTTTCTTACTAGTAGTGGGACGAAACTTACTTGTAAGTTTCGTTTTTTCATCCGTAAATGTCGCTGGTACGCGTCGTTCAAAACGGTAGGCGAGTACCACGACATCTAGTGTGTCTTACTTGCGCCTGCTGCGTACGAAACTGTGTGTGATAGTTCCGGCGTGGTCTGCGGGCGGCGCGTCGATAGCGTGTCCATACGCTATTATGCGAAAAATAACATAGTCCATTCTGTCTCGTTACAACCTGCATGTGAAACTTTCATGGAAGTCTTTTCGATGCCAATAAAAATCTTTATCCATCCACATATTTACCATCACTTCATACAACATAAGTAAAAATATTATGTTTTACCATAAAACTTTCGAGGTATACAATTGTACTCTTCCCAAGTTACAAGAGGCTGTTTTTGGGCTATGACATATTTTGAAATATTTCCACTTCCAGGCCACTGACAAATAAATTGTTGAAGGATGTCATTAAATATAATCCATTTACATGGAACAACTTCGGCAGATTGTTCATTAAGAAACTCTACAATGACAAATTTGTATAGTTTTAACTGTTCTATAGTTGCTATGGAATTGGCCTTTATACATGAATCTATTAATATAAAATAAAATATTTTTTATATTAGTTATTATGTTTATAAAACTTAACAAAATAATATGTAATTAAGTACCAGCAAAGTTTAAGACTCGTCCAATTTTTTTAGTCCAATCATTTTCAACATTAACATAATGTTCAGATTTTAAAATGGGTGATTCTAAAGGCCAATGCCATTCACAGACTTCCCCAATTGATGGAACATTTGTACTTAAAAGCCAGGTTTGTGGTATTACTGATACAATATCATTAAAGCTTTGAACAATGACATATGGTTTTATATTGTCCATCCTACAAAAAAGTATTATATTATTATTATAAATCATTATACAATTTAATCAGCTGCTTACTTTAATAGGTAATACTATGAAGTAATGTGCACACATAAAATGAAAGTGACAAATCATTATTTTAATTAGGTAAATAACAAGCTTTGAATTGAATATTTGAAATGGGAAATAATTTTAGTATTGGCGACAATTTGCTACATTCAAACATACCAACTGATGCACTAGAAAACGGTTCATTATATATAGGAATAACTTTCTCAAATTGCTTGCATAAAAGGAATAATTTGTCATCAATTTTCAATATATTTTGCACTATACATATTACAGATGAAGAAAAAATGACGCAATCATCTTTTTTAGTACTTTTACGATTTTCAAATGTAACTCAAATGGTAAACAATTTCATAATTAAAGTTGAATATTGTAATATTGATTTATTCAATATACTACTTTGTAATGGTCCTTTAGAATGACATCCATATAAGACAGGAAAATTGATATATAATCCACGAGTAATATTACATTCACGTTCTTCTACAATTCTATTATATAATTGCACTAAAGGAGCTCGACCAGGTTGAACAATTTTTTTAATATGTTGTAGGTAATTTTCATATGGAAATGATGAAAAATTGTCAACAACTCCATATTTTTTTGCATCTTTAACCAAATGAATTATTGATTGTACATTATACGAGGCGTTCCCTTTACCATAAACATCACAAAATGTTTTTAAAAAATATTTTGCAAGACTTTTTGCATAATCATTTTGACTATACACAGTTGTATGGCAACTCAAGAGCCGCATCAAAATATTAAATATCACAAAATTATTATAAACTGGTTGACTAACTATGTTCTTGAAAATATAAGGTCCAGTGTACATCATTATTTGACGGAATTCTGTAGCTTTAAAGGTTTTATAATCATTTATAGGAATCCGAGAAAAATCAGAACTTAAACATTTTGTTATAATTTTCATTCGATTGTATATTCGTTCAATTTGTGATTTTGATACCCGAACCGAGCCACAAGCATTTGGAACAGTACTACCTCTAATTAAAAGATGTAACATTTTTTTCATGATTCCCAGACAACATAAATGCATATAATCTAAAGGGATTGATGAAACTAGTCCCAGACCCGATATTCCTAATAATGGGGATACTCCAATATGGTGTTCTTCATTTAAATATAAATTAAAAGATTCATCAGTACGTAGCTGTGCATTTCCATTAGGAAAGCTTACACTACCCGATAAATAGTCTCTTCTTCTATACATTTCTCGCAACCAAAGTATCCAGAATGGCCTTTAACTTGCTTTATAAAAGCTCTTGCTGGAGCATCAGCTATAATTCCTTTGACTTTTATATTGAGAGAATTATTATTGAATTGTAAACCATTTTCAAGAAGGTTGTTTATGTCAGTAATAAAAGGGGAAAGATATTCTTTTACATTAAATGGTTTTTTTGATCCAAAATAAGCTCCAACAATGAAGGGTTTCATTATTGAATCATTAACCCAAAAACTACACAATATTGGCCAAAATGATTTGCTCTTTTATCAATAGGAAGACCATCAACATTAAACCACAATTCTAATGTAGACAAATTGTTTACAGGTTCAATTGTTATATTTAAAGTGTAAATTAACCCTGCTGAGATACCAAAATGAATATATTCTCCGCCACCAATACTTTTAATATCAATATCACCTGATCGAGGTGTAGATAACAAAGTTCTAGAATCTAACGTTAACAACTTTAAACAATCTAGATTATCCACAGTCTTTAGTAATTTTAATAATTTGGTAGCACTAGTTTTTGGAATTTTCGATGCAACAATAAATGATGCTAATTTAGATTGAAAAACAGTTGGATCAGAAATATTTTCAATTTTTCCACTTTCATCATGAGGACTTTTATAAACACCATTCTCAATGTTATCAACATTATCTTGTTCTACTATAATTAATTCATTTGAATGGACATGAATAGAATTAGATTCATCATCATTAGAAGTCTCATTTGAAATATGTACACTTTTTACACCCATTTCAGATAAATCGGATGTTCCTTCTTGGGTAAAATCAAAATGACTACTAATTTCAGGCATATCTTTTCTTCTTCTTACTTTGGATATTTTAGATAAAGTGCAACTAGGTTTGTAGGCATGTTTTGGCATTTTAACACTAAAAAAAATGTATACATTGTTTTAAAAAAAAATATTATATAATATTATTATATATTCCCATTTTACTAAAAAGCTATATATATTTGTGTAATATATTTGTGCGTGTGTATACCAAACAAAATATTTTTTTCTTTGCTGAAACCCCATTAGAATTCTAATCAAAGCTCATTCGCCTGAAATATTTGGTGGTATCTCTAACTTAAATATACTACCTATTATATATATGTATAAATGTATAATATAAAGGTATATTATAATATAAAATTATAATTGTGTTGAAAAAGTAATTATTAAATAGGTAAAATGCTTTAAGTATTATATTAGTGTCTCTTAATAATTATACACAAGTAATTGCAATACAAAATCAATTTATAGTAAAATATATATAATAGGTATCTAAATATTATATATAAAAAATATGTATATATTATATTTATCTAACTTAACAACTACAGATTGAATAAACAAAGAAGTACCTATATTATATACAGACATAAATATAAGAACTTAATTTTGGTAAATTCTTTAAAAATGCATCTATATTTTTTTGAAGAATCTAAGCTATATAGTTTCAATACATACAAATATATTGGCATAACACCCTAATTTGGTTTATGTTAACATAGGTATACTAATTATACATAAATATTATATGCATTCAACTATGGTTGAGTACTATATATGGGTATATACTTACTTACCCATATAATAATATATACAGCTTTATAAGTTATAATAGTTATACAATGTATTCATATTTTCTTTAAAAGAAATAATCGTTAAAATAAATAACATACTTACACGTCAGTTAATTTAGGCAAGAAAGTCTTCGATGCAAAAGTGCAAAACACAATAAGAAAAAGCAGTTAGCTAGCGCCTAGCTGTAGTTACTAGTCACTGTCTCACTGACCACTGACACAATACAATAATAAAGCGCTAATAGCGCTATAATATAATCGTCAATCGTGAGCACGATCGTTCAACTGTTCAAGCCGGCACACACACACACACACATACACATGGCTGGCCGACTGGTTGGGTTTTTCTTAATATTAATATCTAATTAATCGATTTTGATTTATTTTTAGTTTGTCTTTCAACAATTTTCATTGAAACGACCATATTCCTCGTTGATATTGTGGTGAACTCCCTCCTTATTTTCCCCCAGCTGCGGTCGGCGACAACGACGCTCGTCCGGCATGTCGCGGCGTCTCCACGAACGTCTCGGCGTGCCGAGCCCGGCTGGATCTCCCCCTTGACGACTCTTCTCGCGATTATATATTATAAACTAGTTCATAGGTCTATGGACTATGGAGTATAGACGCACTACCCTCGACCAGCTCACGGCTCGCGCCACTAGTCCTGCACCTCCGGGCTACACAACCGACTCCGACTACGATCTACACAGCAACGATGCCGTAGAGCTCTAGCCCGTATCGAGCTCTCGTGCCCTTTTTGGTCATCTAACCAGTGCCGGCGCTAGGGGAGGACAAATGGGACATTTGTCCAGGGCCCCGCGCTTGTTAAAGGGCCCCGTGATTTTTAATTATCATCTTAATACGAATACCGTGGTCTACCGTCGTATATTGCATTATTCTGCCTGCAGCGGTCGGGTACTTAGATATTAAACAATTTATTATTTTATTCAAACATTTTGATGAATTAATTTATTTTTAATTGATGATTATATGTAGTTGTTAAAATAAATGTAAATTAATAAAATAACTTAAACTTTCTCTACTTAAACTCTCTTAACTTAAATTACAATCGGTCGGCCATTGGACTATACGTACTAGTTGCTACGAATGTAAGGATTCTAAGAGCTATACGTAGAATATAAGTATAGAAGTAAGTGCTCACTTAACTTAAATTACATTCAGTTGGCGGAGAGACTATACGTACTTCTGTTACTAATGCAAGGATTTTAAGAGCATATAGTGATAGTCACAGGTAGAAATTATATACGAAATCCTACAGATCACATAAAAGAATATACATGTATTGTCATCGTGATACCGACTATTGAACACGACCCCGAAGGACTGCAAACACTTAAGAGAGAACCAGCTGCAGCAAGGTAAGTGTTTTGAATATTTATATAATAAAAGTAGGTGATTCAAATATCATTAGGCAGTTAGGTACAACACAGTAGTAGGGCGATCTTATGCGGAAACAATCAAAAACCAACATAATCTTACACAATTCACAAACACGTAAACGTATAGGTACAGACACATACGCGCACTGCGTACGAAGCATACTATAGCATATCACCCACCATCAACATTATAGCGGGGGTCATTGAACCATCATTCCCCGAAGGACACTGCCAACCGGTTCGCCAGATGCGTCCCTTGCTCGTTAAAGTAGATCATTAACCCACGTACTTATCGTACATCACGCATCGTTCTATATATCGTAGCACATTACAACCCGCAAGTGTGTTACCTAAAAAACCACTACCTTACCACTACCGTCTATTCACCCTTTTCAACTAGATAGTTCCCCGCATATTTTCTCCTTACTACAATATCATACACCACAACCACGGTTAAACAAAATACCGCACTAAACCAAGTGCTCACGAATATAGGCGGGTTTCCACTATACACGTACTCGTTCACGTGCATACAAATCATTTGCTGTGATTGGTTGGTTATGTTAAGTTACCACACGATTAACCACGATACCGTGTTGTTGGACATAGCTGAACATTTTTCGTGTACACGGCAAAAGTGTATAGTGGAAACCTTATCTACCTTTCAAACGTTGGCGTTTGTTCTGCAAAACGTTTTCTGCTATAGAATTTCCTCTATAGACTATAGGTAATAAGTCCGTAGACCGTAAGTGGTAACCACGAATTAAGATATATTTTAGGTATAGTGTTTGATGTATGAAATATTTAATTTTGAAATATTTCACTATATGGTGAAATATTTCACAAAAACGTGAAAACATTGAAATTTTTTTTAACACAAATAAAAACTCTATTTTTTTAACACAATGTTCAGTGTTCTAAATTCTACTGAGCAGAATTCAGTAGATATACAATAAAAATGTATAATATTGTATACCAACTTGTATCATTTAAACATTAAAATATTTAAAAATTTTGAATACCATTTTAAATGTATAATACCATGTTCTGTGATAATACTAAAGGTTACGGGTACATACAAGTGATACAGGTACCATACAGTTATGAAGGTAACTTATGACAATTATATGTAAATATAAAACTTATTTAAAAATAAAACAAAATTTATTAAAATACTGAAATATTTCACACATTTTGAAATATTTATTTTTTTTTTAAATTTCATTAAATTTTCAAACACTTATCAGGTATATTATAATTCACGAATCATGATGGTAACTGACGGATAGGCGGACGCACAGACACAACGGGGATATAATGTGTTCTAAATAAATGTTAAATTCTTATCTAAGTTAAATGTTTATGATTAATGAAATATGAAATAACATAATATTTAATATCAAATTAATTCATATTATATGAAATAAAATTGAATATTAAATATTTTCAAATAAAATAAAATTTTAATAATTTAGTTTAATTTCAAATATAATTAGTATAACAGAAATAATTTAAAAAATAAACTTGAAAAATGTAAAAATTATTGTAAAAAATATTATTTTATTTTTAATAATATATTATAGGTTAACTACTGTAACTGGTATGATACCATTCATAAAAATCAAGTATAAATTGAACTAAACTAAATTATTATAATGTATTTTAACTAATACAAATAAAAAATAAATAAATACTATGTTTGTGTTTTTTACATTTTTTTAAATATATACTATATTAAATAGATGAAAATAATACTAATGTTGTAAATAAATGTTTTATATTTACAGACAAAAACCGAAAAATAAAATAATAATTATTGATTTTGAATTCACAAACTATCAACGTACTGATTTAATACTTATTTCTGCAGCATTATTACAGACTCATATACAATCAAAAATTGAACGTATGCGAGGTCGACCTTTAATAATATCACCTGATGGAAGAATAACATTAATGAATAATTATACCTATTTGAAAAACAGAGATTTGTTGCTAAAAATTTTTGAAAAGAAACCAGACCAGCTTCAAGTTTGTAACGGGTAGGTTTTTTTGAGCCTAGTCCTATACAAATATTTATGAAATCACAATGCATGGATTTTGGTAATCATGTTAATCTTTATTGAACGTAAATAATAATATAATACAAATTTATAATACAAATAAATTACATTTATAATACAAAAATACAAGTGATACAGGTACCATACAGTTATGAAGGTAACTTATGACAATTATAGTAGTATATATTTGTATGCTCACAGTCCGTTTTTTGTATCACCACGGTAATTTCACAACGTTCAAGCGAGGATGCCCCCCTTGAACACAATAAGTTTACCGTGTAAAAATTATGAAGAATTTACACGCTTTTTACACGGTAATTTCACACCGTTCAAGGGAAGATGTTCCCATTGTACACAATAATTTTACCGTGTAAAAATTATGAAGAGTTTGCACACTCAAAGTCAGTTTTGACCAAATATTTACAGTGTACACGCTAAATAGTTTTTTTTCTCAACATACCTTATTATTCACATTTTACATTTATGGTGGTTACACTGTAATTTATCTAATGAATGTCTTCATTTATATAATTTCAAGTTATAAGCTGATCATTTTCTCATATTCAGTTACTAATTACTCATATTACTCATTTTCTCATATTCCGTTCACTTAAGTCGTGTCTCATTTTTCTTTATTTTCTTGAAGTTTTATTACATTGTATAAGTTATTTAATTTCTTCAAAAATGAATTTTCAAAAATGTTCAAATGATTTTGAATCATTAGTTTATCGTGTACAAAGAAATCCGACTATGGTTCATCCAACATTTTCTTCGTTTTCATCAAGATTTAAAACATTCAAATTATTCCCGTTAAATACTTCTCAAAATAA